TTGTGATTTTGCGATGAATGGCTTAAGGATTTCCCTTTTCATGTATGACAAAATTTTTTGGAGATTTCTTTGCAGGATCAATATCATTAACCAGGATCTTCGCGTCAAAAGCTGTAAGGTAATCTCTTTTGGTTTTTTGGATGGTTTTATGTCTTTTTGCAGGAAGCTGGAGCTGACTGATGACATTCCTCGCTTTCTTTTTTGGGTGCTGTTGACTCACAGCCCTTGCTATCTTGATTATTATTTTTGTAATAGTAGGAAAAGAATCCACCGGCTCTTAGGGTTTATTTTCTCCTTTTTGACTGTTGCTCTTTTGAGCATTAGAGAGCTGGAGGATCCTTCTAAGGACTTTTGTAACCTTTTTATTATATAAACGCGTAGGCCCCATGAGAGGGTTTTAACCTAAAAAAAAAATGTGAAGAAACTGAGTGAACGGGATCAGGAAAGAACAAGAACAGTGGAAGAAGACAAAGATGGAAATAAAAGCTCTGATTCATATCGTATAGAATACTTTTAATATATAGACTTATGAGATGGCCTTTGTTACATAAGAACCAATATCAAAGTGCCACCTCAGCAATAAAGAAATGATACAATATTTATATTTTGTTGTGTACTAATACGCCCCTACAAGTTGATGGGTCTTGAGAGACTGTTAGTTTGAGTCGAAGTTTGGTAAAACAAGGTGTATAGAGAGCTTTGGTAAAAGCGGAAAACACGCGATTCCAAGGGTGCAAAGATGTTTATATTCAAGCTTAATTTTTTGTCATAACTCAAATGGCGAGATGTTGTTAGTGATGGGTGATGACATATGGTTTATAAGGTATACAAAGGTGAGAATAGCTTCCATCCAGTGCTTGTAAGGAATTGAAGCAGTCTTAAGAAGAGTCCTAGTAGTTTCTATGATGTGTATGTGCTTGTGTTCCGCTACTCCATTCTGTTCAGGCGTATAAGGGCAAGATACTTGATAAATAATACCTTGATAGAGCAAGAATTGATTGAAATTATGATTGATAAATTCAATACCACCATTAGTTCTTAGAGTTTTGATATTTTGCGATGTGTTCTTTTCGATGTGATTTTTAAAATGCACAAAGATATGGTAAACTTCTGATATTTTACTTCACATTCGAAAAATTCAGGTAAATCGAGAGAAGTCATCGACAAAAAGAATATAGTATCTAAAATTTTGAACAGACATAACTGGGGCAAGACCCCAGACATCGGAATGAATAAGAGAAAGGACAGAGGTATGACGCGTAGCAGACTTATCAAAAAGACTATTTGTGTCCTTTGGACTCCTTACAGCAAAAACAAGAAATCAGACTAACATGTATATTAAGATGCAGATTACATTTAGCTATGGTAGAAAGAACACGGTCATTGGGATGGCCAAGTCTATTATTCCATGGAGGATACCAAGAGGTAGCAGCTGTCAGAGCAGAATTTGCGAAAGAAGAAGCTTGGAAATGAATGGGGTAGAGGCCTTTGTCAGATGGTCCTTGAAGCAGCACTTGATGAGTCTTCATGTCCTTAAGCAAAAGACTCGAGGATTAAATGTTATAGAATATTATTGTCTTTTGTTAGTTTAGATATAGACAATAAATTGTAATGTAAGGATGAAGTATGAAAAATTTGGTGCAAAGAAAGCTTACGAGAGGGAGTCGGTAACAAGCCTATACCAGAATTAGCTATGTTAACCGATCTCCCATCACCGACGATGATGTTATCAGAACCTTGATAGGGAGTCGAGATAGACATGTTGTCTAACGAATTTGTAAGATGTGAAGTTTCCCTTGAGTCAAGATACCAATTAAAGTAGGTGTTATTTGAGCTTGCGATAAGACCTTTAATCTGCGAAGCCAATGGAGAGGGTGTATAGTTCAAGTCCATCCTGTTCCAGCAGATGGAGGCCGAATGACCCTTCTTGGAGCAAATTTGACAGACAACGGTAGAGTTGTTGTTGAGTTGCGAATATCGTCCACAAGACTTACGACCTCTTCCTCTAGAAGCAAATAGAGTTGTGTTGGGATACGATTGAGGAGTAAAACGAGCGGTATCAGAGGCTACATTAATTTATTCACTAAGTATTAAGGAATATAATTGATCAAGAGAAATAGGTGTAAGCATAGTGCGAATGGCGGTTTTAAACAATTGATAGGAAGGTGGTAGGCCATTGAGAATGTAAAGAATCACATCCTCAATGTCGACGGCCGAACCAGAATCAGATATTTAATCAACGAGAAACTTGATTTCAGACAGGTATTGAGTTATAGTTTGGTTCTTGAGTGAAATGTTGTGAAGGGAGTTGTTTACCTGAATGACCTTTGATCTATTAGTAGATTGAAATCTTGTTTCTAGGGTAGACCAAATTTGAGCGGTAGAATAGAGATTAAAGACATAAGGAAGGATAAAAGATGAAATAGTGGAGCATAGCACGACAGCGAGGTTCTGGTCCATTAAGATCCATTGATTGAAAAGAGGGTTAGGAATAGAACTGCCATCAGATAGGCGAAGATTAGGTGACAGAGAAGAGATAGTGTGAGCAATAGACTTAACTAAATGATTTTCTCAAAATATTTTTTCAATTTGAGCTCTCCAAACTGAGTAGTTTTCTATGGCTAACTAAACAAAGACAATCATTTTTAGGTTCGAAACAACAAATTACAAAGCTGCCGGGATGAAAAGATCTTCAAGATCTTCCGCATCTGCTTGCTCGCTGAGATGCGATGTAACAGAGCTCGTCATTGCGGAGGATTATTTTGCCGAGCTCTTGATACCATGAAGAAACTGAGTGAATGTGATCAAGAAAGAACAAGAACAAAGGAAGCAGACAAAGATGGAAATAAAAGCTCTGATTCATATAGTATAGAATACATGTATATATAGACTTATGAGACGGCCTTTGTTACATAAGAACCAATATCAAATTGCCACCTCAGTAATAAAGAAATGATACAATATTTATATTTTGTTGTGTTTTAATAATATGTGAGTTGACAACTTTCAAAATTTAATTCGGGATCATCTAAACTCTAATTTGAATAAAGTTGTAGTCTAATTTAACATCACAATGAGACAAACCCAATGACACTAAAATGGTTCAACCCTAGCCCAAATGAGCCCAAATCAAGGGATCAAATCATATTTAGAAGATCCAAGGCACTAATTTGACGATCAAATGATATTCAAATATAACATGTCTAAATCAAATCGAGTAGCTTGACTAAATAAATCTGACGAGCCCAAGATCACTTAATTCTGATCTCATTAAGGCAATAAAATGCTGAGTGAACGCTCTATAATCAAGGGAATCAATATGAGCCATCTGATGGAGCACTAAAAAATTATTCTTGATCTTATTCATATGTTTGTAGCATGTCACTCTCAAATATACAAATAAACTCCTACTCTTTATATGAGGGGGGACTTTTTGGCAGCTTCAAACTTTGGAAGCTTAAACCTTTAGAAGCTTTGACCATAGGCTAGAGATCAAGAGAGCTATTAAGCTTGAAGAATCACGGAGCTCCATCCCGACATTCTATGCTGGTGAACCATTATCATATGGTCACAACTGTTAAGCTTGAGCTTGGCCACCACTGTTGAACCTCTGCCCGATCATCATTGTCAGACATCAGTCTAGCCACCACTGACGGTTCTACCTCTAATAATCGTCGCCCGCCGACTATACTCCCTTCGACCACCATCACACACCGACTACTTTTCCTCCAACCAATATCACCCGTCGACTACAGTCACTCTCATCCCTATCGCTCGCAGATTACTGTCCCTCCAACCTTTGTTTCCCACAAATTAAGTTCCCTTCAACCACCATCACCTGCCACTATTGTCTCTCTGACCACCATCACCCACCGACTATTGTCCCTTCGACCATCATTGCCCGCCAATTACGGTCCCTCCAACCAATGTCACCTACTATGGACTGTCCGACCACCATCGCCTGACCACAGATCGTCCATCCTCCGTCTTCTGCCAACTATTATACCTTCAACCATTGTTGCTCGACTACAATGCTTAAGACCTCTGTTGATTGATGACTACGGTCCCTCCGGCCGCCATCACCTAATTACAGTTCTCCTGACCTTCATCGTTCGTTGACTACAATCCTTTCAATTACATCGCCTAACTACAAACTATTCGACCTCCGTTGCCCGCCGATTATGGTCCCTCCGACCCCTGTCACTCGAATACTGTCCTTTCGACCTTCGTCTCCTGCCGACTAATGTCCCTCCTGTTCCAACCTCCATGGCCGATCATTTACGACCCCTCTGAGTACTGTCGCCTGTTGACAATGATTCCTCCAACCACTGTTACCCAACTACGGTCCTTCCAATCTATATGCTACATGCCGACCACGGTTATTGTCGCTAGCCGACTATTATCCCTCTAGCATTGAGCCAAAACCTTTCCCTGAGAAAGGGCTTTATTTGTAATTAACAACAAATATTAGAGAATTCATTCAAAGTGGGCAAAGCCCCATAGTTTTTCTCCTATTTTAGGTGTTTCCACATAAAAATTTTTATGTCACTTATAACTATTGCATCCCTCTCTCTAATCTATCAATGTGCTTGATTTTCATACAAAATTTAAAAGCTAAATTCTATCTCTCTACGCACATGAATGTTCTATAACGCAACAATCATGAAAATAATTTTGATAAAATTTGAATGTTCTTGAAGGTTCTTTACTTGTCTTCGTTGTTTTTATTATTATGATTTTTTAAAGTGTTCTTTACTTCGTTATTCGCTCAAGAGAAAAACGCTGTTGTCAACGCCACGCTGTGGCATGCAGTTGCGTAGCAGATGACCTCATACGCGTACAGCGCGACGGTTGACCGTTAAGTTTTTCAAACAGCCGCACCTAAAAGTTTGCTTTTTTCCAACCTCGATCCTATTCGTTCTCTCACCTCTGACATCTATAAAAACACCTTCCTCCGTCCCAGTAGCCAAGTTCCAAGTTCGATCAATTACTTCTCTTAACTGTCCAAGCAGCCAAGTTCTTGATAATAGTAAACATGATCTCCAGCCAAAACGTTTCGTTGTACGCACAAGAAACATCGCCGAAAACCTTCTGCGGCTGTAACAGCTCCTCCATCTTTGCAAGAAGACTTTCACTGAATAAGCCTAACACGGTCTCTTCACCTTCTCTGCCACCGCGGGCATTCCGGGCATCATCATTCCGAGAGAGCAAATTCGAGCGAGTCTTTCGCTACTTCGACGAAGACGGGGACGGAAAGATCTCCGCTTTGGAGCTGTGCAATTGCTTGCGCAGCATGGGGGAGGAGCTTTCAGCGGAGGATGCAGAGGCTTTCCTGGAGTCGTCGGATGCCGACGGGGATGGCAAGTTGGGTTACGAGGGTTTTTTGAAGCTGGTGGAAGTGGAGGAAGATGTGGAAAGGGAGAGGACTCTAAGGGAAGCGTTTGCAGCCTTCGAGATGGCCGGAATGGGTTGCATCACAGAGAGAAGCCTCCGGTCAGCATTGCAACGGTTGGGTAAGGAAAAAAAGCTGGAGGAATGCAGCGATATGATAAAGAAGTTTGATCTTAATGGGGATGGGGTCATTTGCTTCGATGAATTCAAGCTCATGATGCTCTGAATATTATGTTGTAATTTATGTAGGTAATTAATTACTTGACTATGTATAGCCATTGCAGGTAACTAGGACGAGCGTGTGTTCACGGCATTGTTTGCAGACGTCCTTGATTGTTTGATTTTTTTATTATTCTGGTTGATTGTTCTAGATAAATATTAGGCAAAATTTTAATATAGGAGCTTGCGCAAAATTTTTTTAATTATATTAATTTTATTTTATCCAAAGAAGGGTTATAAAGCCTTTAAAGGAATCAGAAACTCTCGAAGAGCTGCAATCAAAAAGAAAAAAAAAAAATTATTGAGCTAGCTAAAGAACCCATACTAGCTAATTATAAGAAATAAAATGAAAAGGTAGGCAATGATCGAGCCTCAACACAAAAACTCCATTAGGACCGGCAGCTGAGCTAAAGCAAGAGAAATCAAAAAGGCCAAAAGCACATCCTGCTAAAAAAAAAAGGCAAAAAGCAGCACCCATAAAATCGTGAAACATGATTAAACAATACCTCATGAGAAGGCCCCCAGTATCACCAACCGTTGAGCTGATACAATACCAAAAGGAAATTCATAAGCCATATATGCAGTTAGAGATATATTAGAGGCAATAGAAACCACCCAATCATTAGAAGAAGACGACGCAGAAATGAAAAATGGCATCATATCCAAAAAAGGCATCAACCTTCAAAAGAATAAACACAAAAGGGCAGTAACATTGGTTACAATCAACATGATGCAAGAAAGAGAAATGGACATTTCGAGGGCATAGACAAATAAAAGAAAACCAGGCCCAAATCTGTGCAAAGGGATCATATAGGAGAGCTGAAAATATTCCCAAAAAAAAAAAAAAAAAAAAAAAAAAAAAAAAAAAAAAAAAAAAAAACAAAAGAAAAGCCAAAAGCTAAAACAGAAGGAACCAAATATGATGCCCCATAATCTAAATTAGAAAAATTACTTTTTATCTTTTAGTAAACAACACTAGAGATATCTAATATTATCTATTAGTATTAAACAACAAAATAGATTCTATAATTTAACACATCTATGTATACATATATATTCATTCCCAAAAATCATATACACTACTCAGGATCTATACAATCAAATCATAACAACTTTTATCCTGAGTATAAAAGAAATATAAAAAGAAACAGAACTTGAAGAACATGACCAGCCTCACACTCTTGCTATCCTACCCTAACTTGAAATCATTTAACCACATATAATAAGCTTAAAAAATCCAGCTGATCACTAAAATCTATAACTGAATTCAAAGCATGGTAAATGAGTAGTATGAATGTCAATAGTCAAATCATAGTAGTTACATTCATATGATCATTAAATTAGTATAAATAAGAAAATCTCACATGCAATAGCAGTAAAATCTATAAATAATAAAATACTATGATACATAAGCCAGTAAAGTGGTAAACTAGTACGAGAGTCAAATATATAAAGAAATCATTATATCTATACAAAAATCAGACAATGCATCAAATTCAAATATTAATAAAGACTGTCAAATTATGTCAATGTAGTAAAATCATATAAGAGTGTATACATGCTATCAAATTATTTTATATCATGTGCTCAATATATCACATATATAATATCAAAACATTGAATTGGTAGTATCCAATAGTATCAGTATCTATATCAATAGCAGTAACAATCTAGTGGTAGGAGCTATAAAATAATACAATAACAATAAATTTGTGTAGTAACAATAAATTAGTACAATAATAAGAATAATACCTTAAAAACATACACTTTAGTAGTCACACTAAACAAGTAAGAAGTCCTTGCTATTATGATATTTTTTAGTATTATATTAGTATCAGTAAACCATTGGCTCAATAAATAAAGTTGCACTATTTGCTCATCAATACAGTAATCATCATTTTATAACTTCCAATCTGTATCACGAGAATCAGTTGATGATAGCACCAAATCACAATATTTAAAGAAAAGCCCGACGATCTACCATCTTATACATGTCAATCAGTTTCTAACCAATGGGTTAACCAGTCTTTACTTATTTGTTTCACACACACATCTTATTATCATAATACTATAACAATAATAGAGACCATCTATTACTCAAGTACATATACACATCCATTTTTAAAATATTAAAGTAAATAATACATAATTGAGTTTAATTAAGAAGATGCCAAAATGCCATAATGGTGGACAACAAAGAATTCTATTAGGCAAAAATGCACATTTTTAGAAAATTATCAAAATACCAAAAATTGAATTAAATAATATTTTAAGACTTTTATTATATTACACTACTATTTTTAGATGTCAAAATAAAATTTTAGGTAGACAAAAATTACTATATTTTCTAATTCACATGGTAAAAAATCTCAAATAAATATTCATAATACTCATAATTATGATATTATATATAACATATAGAAAGTTATGCGGAAAAAGTTTTGTCAATATAAAGTTATTCATATTTTTCTATGATAGAAATTTAAATTTGATTAGAAAAATATGAAAAATATAAAATATTTGAAATAAAAAATAGGCTAGTGGTTCCTTACTACAAAACGAGCAAATCTCTCAACTACGTCGACAGATGAAAATTGCATAGTGGCCTTCAAATCTTAGCTTCAAATTTCTCTCTCCTAAAAAATCTCTCTTAACCTCACAAAAACTTCTTTATTTTGGCCAAATGAAGATAAAACAAATGTTTTAAAAAAAATTAATAGTGGATTAAGATATTTATAATAATAAAATATTTATTTAATATTTAATTAAATCAATTCTTTAGTATAAAATTTAAATAAATTATTTTAAGTCTTCAAAAATTACAGAAAAATATTTATAAAATAAATCATTTTATTTAAAAAACATCGATAAAATTAGTTTTTAAAATGGACACTCGAGGGTCCAAAAATCCTCACTTATACTGATTGGTACAAATTCCTTAAGAATTTTCACCGATGCCCAAAAATTTTGAAAAAAATTTGTGCAGGTAAAATACTATGATCAAAATATTATGGCAAAGATAGAATGACATTTGGAGTTATAATGACTCCAAAAAATGAAAAAGTTAAAATATCGATTATTACAATCTACCCACCTTAAAAAATATGTCATCTCCAACATTTCTCTAAAAGTTCAGGTATAAAATCAATATCAACTAAATTCGTATAATCAAAACTCAAATCAAATCAAAATAAAATTAGAATTCATCAAAAATCAAAGAGTCATGCAGTTCATTCTATCACATGTCATTCAATTATGCATGATATATTATGTCATTTAGTCATTCAAATAAATTTCTTATTAGAAGAGCTTTCAGATTATTGTTCAACCAGATATTATAAGTTATACAGATATGGCATCACTGACATAGGTGCAGTTGGTCATGGTGTAATAGTCTCCCTCTGACTACCACTAACAGCTCTATCATCCACTATGATTGTTGATCTTCCACTATATGCATTTGACCCGACAATCCTCTGTCATATAGCATGTCTGGATTGTCCTGCACCAGAATCAGCTTTTCCTCCAAATACCCTTTGAGGATAGTCCACTACCTTATGTCGCTATTGTCCACAACAAAAACATCGCCCCCTCAATAAGTAGCATTGACCTACATGTCATCAACCATAATAAGTGTACTTACTATAGATGTCAGAAGATGCTACAAAATATAGATCCTCTCGAATCATTATACTTGTTTTTTTTTCTTGTCACTATCTCTCTCTTTACTTAGTTCATCTCTACTCCTCCTCCTCCTCTTAACATCATATCAGAGACCTGAAAGTTCGTTAGAGATTTTAAACCCTTATGAACTAGCCCAAGGCTAACCAAGAGGTGGGGGGGGGGGAGGTGAATTGGTACTTTAAAAAATTTCTCAATCAAAAACATAATCTTAGATCAAACCAAAATTCACCATAAGAAAATCAAAGTGCAGAAATTAAATGCAGAAAAATAGTAAGAAAGAACACATAGAGATTTATAGTGGTTCGGTCAACTTGACCTACATCCACTCCTCGGAGCCTCTCCTCCGAGTATTACACTAAACTCAGTGACTCTCCTTTTGCTTCCACAGTAAAGCGGAGAAGCCTATACAAACATCCTTTTCACCAACACCAGTGAGGCAAAGAATCTAACTCCTTTTGTTTCCTCCTGAAGCAGGCATAGAACCCAACTCCTTTTGCTTCCTCCTAAAGCAGGCATAGAACTCGATCAATAGCTAAGGTAGACCTCTCTCGAATAACCAATGAGTAAGGGACGACGACCAGAGAAGCTGACTCAGATCCTTGCTTAGAGCAACATTTATGAAACCCCTCACAAACTCTCCCTCACAAGATCCTCTCTCTCTCTCTCCCTCTCCTCTTGGCTCTCTCAGGTCAAGATAGCAGTAAGAGATATAATATTGAGTCAACAAGAGGTCTTATATAGAAGTGCTTTGGATTTGCTCTTAAATGCAACAAATTGATATAATCTTTCAGGACGATCGGCTGATCATCCCGTATGATCGTACAAATTCAGCTCAATCAGCCAGGATGATCTGGGGGAGTCTGGATGATTAAAAGACTTATTTATTCTGATCATCCTGATGATAGTATATCATCATGTATGATTAGTTCAAAATTATTGAGCATCATTCAGAACATCGCATTGATTACATGTCTAGATGATGGAAAAATTACATTGATTATCCAGGCCGATTAGTTCAAAACACCAAACATCATCCAGAATATCGCCCTGATTGCATCTTTGGTTGATGAAAAAATAACTAATCATTCTTGGATGATATGGGATCATCTCGTACAATTAGTATAAATTAATATATATAATCCATAACATCGTCCTAGTAGTCTAAGATGAAACTAATATTTGTTTAACTATTTAGGATCGTCTAGGATGATATGATCGAGCAATCAAACCTTAATTATTTTTTTAATTTCCATACTAATTTAGGCATAATTATAGTGAATTGTCCAAGATGATGTCCTGGAAGATGTCCAAAAATAAAACATGCCTAAAAGGTTATTGCGG